CACATACTTTGATTACATTATATCATATATGATTTAGAAACTATCTTACGGATATTGTCGTTTGTGTCATAATTAAGGTATATCTACTTGGAGTCGGTGGATCTGGCAGATTAGCCGAGTTCTCCTCAAGGCTCTATCCGCAAGTAGTATTTTCTGCCTTACTAGTGTGTCTTGCTCGTGTGCTCAGGAAAAGCTCTCTTCTCTCATGTTTGAGTCAAGTCTTCTATTCTTCTATTCCGGAAGTTAAGTTCTTGGTTACAGTTGTGTTTCTCTTATGCGTATGTAGTTTTGTAGCCTCTCCAGGTTTGTTCATGTTCTTCCTTTAGCTCTTGCACGAGGTGTTGGTGGTTTTCTACCATAATATGGTTGGATGGATAGTTTGTTGCGAAACTGTTGGCCCATCTTTTCGCCGATATTATTCTTCGGCATGGAATCTACAAGTAAGGTTTGGTGAGTACGATTTTGGAAGTCTTGCTCATGTGCCGTCAGCCACAGACAGGGGTTGTCTTTGCCTTTTCGCCGGCGTCCTTGGCTTTTGGTGTGCGGCGGCTGATCCTTTTTTCTCTTAGAGAATTAGGGTTTTCCATTATTGGGCTTTAGTGTTGTTGCGAGCTTAGTGAAACACCCCGACCCATATTTTTTTACCGCGGTGAGGTTCTGGATCGGCGGCTTGGCCATTTCAGGTTGACCTCGGCCATATCTTTAAAATTTTCCCTTACTTAACATTATTCATTGTTTATTAGACAAGACATTCAAGTATAAAAAATTTACTTAGATTAAATCGCAAGGTTCAATTACAATGTTCAATTTGCTAATAAGCTATTACATTGAAATCGACCTACCTACCCGATCTAATCCACCATCCTTCCCTTTCCAGCTTTAGTCTCCGCGGCTTAAGCATTTAGATTACCTTAATCTTTTTCCCTATCACAAAGGAGGCATAAGCAACAGAATTGTTTAGTGAGAGCGGTCGTCCCATGCCACTTGGCCATAAAATAGATATCA